ATGCATGTCTTATTTTAAATAATTAAAAATGTGTAAAAAAAATCTGGGACACATTAACACCATAACTGCCTCATGCTCTGCAAATTTCCTGTTTTCTGACGTTTTAAAGGTCAAGCTTCAGGAGCGGCACACACAGGACTCTTAAAAATGTGCCTGAAGCAAAACACGTTTCTATCCAACAGTTTCTCAGCCAGACCTTTGCTGTGGTGGCCTCAAGACGTTTAACAGAAATTATATAAAATAAATAAAAACGTAGCAGGAGCCTGAGCAGGTTTTCAGTGTCCATAAATGGAAATGTGTGCCAAAAAATTAGATCATTAATTTGGACTCGTAGTTCTGCAGGAACACAAACTTCAATCTTTGTCTTTTGTAGGAGCAAAGCTGTAAGTGGGGAGGAGGGGGTGGAACATTCTGCATCTCTTAGAAATCGTGCGACCAATTGCATAAAGGGAAAGAATTCCTCCCTCTTTTCAGCCACTTTGCACAAACCTGCGAGTCAAATCTTTATTTGTGCCATCGAGCCTTTTAAAAGCCCGAATGACCACCGGGCTGGCCCCTCCTCAGTGCAGCCAAGTGTATTGAGCCGTAATGGCAACCATACGAAGTAGCACATCAATTTTTTAAAAATCTTCATGAATTATTCAGCCTATCTTGTGCCAGTTCTTCCCCGATATAGGACAAGTCTAAAACGTGCAGATTGTGCTGTTTGACAGGGCTAAAACCAGCTGAAGCCTGAAGACAGGAAAGCAGAGCTGAAGGTGTTTCGATGGCTTTTTTGAGCCAAAGTTTTTTATTCTGCAAAGCTTTATGACATCTCAAAGGAGAAACATTTAAAAGTCGGTAATGTATCAAGTGTTAAAAAAAGAAAAAAAAGAAGGGGTAAATCCTTGGGGGACTTTGCCACTAAATAATGAGCTCTTCATTGATTTCCAAAAACCTGCCTAATACATAACTGATAACTCAAAGCGCTTTTCCTGACTAATCTATCACCCAGAGCAAGGAAGCACTGACAAAACGAAATAACAGATGAATCTGCACATGCTGAGCAAAAGAAGACAAAACTAAAAGGACATCGAGGGAGGAGTGCAGCACTGAAAGAGTAAGTGTTCAGTGTCACTAAAAGCTGCTTCCACAGAAAGCTCAGCTTCACTCACGTCTCTGTGCTTCAGTCCAGAAAACATTCAGCCTTGTTTTGGACCCAAATCCAGATGTGGGTAGAAACTACTTTTATTTACTCAGTTACATTTACTTGAGCAACATTTTTGGAAAAAACATACTTTTAGGGGTAGTGTTACTACACTGTACTTTTACTTTAATGTTATTATGAAGTATTGCTGAATACTTTACCCACAATAAGTAACTTCACTGAATGAAGAACAAACATGTTTTAGCCAGAAATGCACTGCAGAAACACACCTAGTTTATGTTGAAGTGAGACCTCTTGTTTGTTCACAACCTTTGTTGTTCTATATTCTTACTGCTGAGATGTTTAGATGTCAAGTGAACATATGGTAAACAGTAGATATAGGTACTTATGTTCAGTTTTACATATAATAATGAGAAATTTTGACTTGATAATGTTTCTTCTACTGGAATTCGTTATTTTGTAATTATGTTATTTATTTGTTACAGAAATTCCTTAAAAGCCTTTTGACATTTTTTTTGTAAGTGTGTCAAACTAAAGTTAAGAACCAGAGGAAGTTCTCTGACACCCTGTTTAAGAAAAAAAAAAAAGCCCCCGGTAGCATCTGGAAACATTTAAAGGCGGAAATCACACCGTTTTTGCCCACCGGTGGAACAGTGACTGTTAAGGGGTCGATTTTCTTCATTTTAGTCTTTAAAAACACCAGAATTTTCACTTAAAATGATTATGTCTCAGTTTGATGACATAAATCAGATATTTACAGTTACACAGTTACACAGTACTACAGTAGCATCTTTACAAAATACGTTTTTACTCTTTCTCAAGTATTTGGATGACTAATTTTTACTTTTACCAGAGTAAAAGTATGTTAAAATAGTGTTACTCTTACTTGGGTAGAACAACTTTTGGGTACTCTATCCACCTGTGCATTAAACCATGTGAACAAGCCTCATTCATCCCTGATCTGATTCTGACTTACTAAACTTTGGTGAATGTCTTTAGTTGCAAACTTCTACCAAATAACTAAATGGATCAGAGTTTATAAATGCCAAAATGTAATAAATTAATGAAAATAAATTAACACACAGCTCCATTACTGATCCAATCACATCGTGCATTTGTCAAACAACAAGTATCTGTTCATCTTTGCTTTTCTAGTTAAAATGCTTGAAAAAAACCAGCTCAATGAATGTCTATTTAAAAAAAGAAGCTAAACTTAAAATATTTAGACTTCAAATAATCTCATTATTGGTAAGTTTACATCAGCACCACTTCCTTACCTCAGATACTGCTTCAGTTTGGGGAACATTAACCTCCTGTAATACACCAGTTTGACCTGTAGAGGGCTCTACTGGTGGAGTCCATTCCACTGGTGGCTCTTCAGGGACACCTGATCTGGCTTCCACCTCAAAGTCTGAAGGGGCCGCGGGCTCAGCCTTCACCTCTGCAGGAGCCTGGTCCAAACCCTCAGGTTCCGCCTCTGCTGCCTGAACGGGAACAGGTTCTGGTTCTTTCACAACCAACTCTGGTTCTGCTTTGGCAATCTGCACAATGGGGGCAACTACGGGAACGGCCCGTTGGATCTTTTTTTCAGTTTTAGCTGCTTTCTTGGGCGCTGTCGGGGGCGTGCTCGCTGCGATCCCCGGGCCTGCTTTGATTGGTGGATTGGCTGCATGCTGATCCTCCAGAGCTCTCCTCTGCGCCTGCTGCAAGGAGGAAACATGGAAACAGCATCCGGGTCAATAAATGATGCCTCGTCAATAGACTGAACAGCCCTATTCGAGTTTACTTCTTTGCTTTATTGATTATTATTATTATTATTATGTAACCTTCATAATTTTGTCCCAGTTCACTGGAATACAATTTTATAACCCTTTACATAAGCTTTAATTTCAAATAGCATGTTTAATCTAGAGCAGAGGTTCTCAAACTGGGATCCTAGGGCCCCAGGGGCATCCTCTTAAAATTTCAATTAATTCTTAATTTGTTTTTTATTGTAAAAAAAAAAATGCATATGGGAAACAAAGCACTAGTAAAACAACATTTAGGGGTTAAAATGACAGTAAAATATTTTTAAAACAGCATGGGGTTTATGAGGGGGGTCCCTGGATTGTTTTTCACCCTGTAAGGGGTCCCCAGACCCCCCCCCCCCCCCCAAAAAAAAAAACCTTTGAGATTCCTGGTCTAGAAAAGTATTGCAAGAAGTGTCCCAGATTGCACCTGACATGCAGTCAGCCGCTGATATTTACATTGCAAAGAGAATTAAATGTAAATGTTCATGTAATTCAAAACTGATTTGAATGCAAATGTTTGGGGGGAAAAATATTTTCAACCATTATGAAACTTTTGAAGTTGGCTTAATCCACTTTAAACTAACTATTAGCTTGTGAGTCCAGTTAGAATCAAACTGTATTTCTCCAAACTGAGATTGTTCACAAAGCTTTCTGCAACAAGTAAGATATTTACTGTTTACAACCATTTTTCTCAAAACCTTGTTTGAGAAGAGAAGCTAAAACCTTAGCATAATGTGAGTTTTGGAGGTCTAAGAGTTACTGAGGTCTTACAGGTTCTGACACTGTTGACCGTCCATGTCTGCAGGAATACCAGGCATGCCATCCCAGCCAGTTCGTTTCAGCCCTCGAGCTGCAGGTTTTAGGAAGGCAGACCACTGGTGGGAGGGGACAACTGGGAGTGGGCCCAGCAAAGCTAGTCAGATAATGGAGGCTAATTAGTTGAATCGGAGCGGTCCTGACAGGTCTGGTGAAGCGGGCACAGAAACTGTGTGAGTCAGCAGCACTGATGGGTGCCCCGCGGGCCAGACAGTGGCTCTAATCACTTCATGATCAGCTTAGAATCACTCCCCAAAAATGCTTTTGTTAGGCTGGCAGCCAGTTAGATGTGGCTAAAACCAGTGCTTTAAGCCAACTGTGTGTGTCTGTGTGTCTGTGTGTAGGTGTGTGTCTATGCTTGTCCAGTCAAAACAACTCCAGTCAAAACCCATCTGATTAACACAAAGTCACAAAGTAAATCGGTCATTCTTAAAGGTGTGTGATAAACAAAGAGGAAATGTTCTGGAGTTGTGCCCGACTGACCTTTACCATCCAGGACTTTTTAAATCTTTGGGGGGGAGAAGTGATGATAACACAAAGCTGCAAATAACTTAAGGGGCTATTTATGCCTGAGTGTCGGTGCTGGACTCGGAGAATGAGGGAGCTTGTGCAGAATCCAATTTGGCAAAACAAATCCAAGACATTCCTCCAGTCAGCGCATTACCAAATACAGCTGTGAAGTGTTGAGAGCTGCTGGCCGGCAGAGGCTCAGGAAACTGGGGGGTTGTTGGGGGCTCCACATAAACTCAGGATTCAAGCACTTGTTTAATTCATCTAAAATTATTCAGTTGATAAGAAAAAATAAGGAAAAAGAACTCTATATAAAAACAAACATTACAGAGCAGTTTGGGGATGTATGTAATGTAACCTTTGACCTTGCAGGAAATTAAAGTCTGTCAGTTCGGTCTAACCAAAAGGCCATCACCTCTCTGCCACAGCCACACCCTCTTTTTGAGGACCGACTGTTCAAATGTGACGTTTCTCTATGTTGCTTGAGGAGAGGAAACAGAAACCTCATGAATTAGAGATTTAAAATAAATGTTTAAATACGATTAATGCAACATGACTGCGCCGTTTCTTTATTTGGCTGCCAGCATAAAATAGATCAAAGTCAAGACTTTTTAAAGTGGCAATTTAAAAGATTTCATTATAAGTTTAACTTGGGATCTCTAGTTATTTTATTATTTTAAATTTGTAATTAACAAGTACCGTAGCTCTAAAGTATTGCAATTCACAGGGGGGGTTGGCATGTTTTCAGTGCAGTCTTTTAAATCTTTTATGCATCTCTGAGAGATTTATGTCCACAGTTAATCTTATTATTTTTCTCTTGTTTATTGTTTAAACAATACATTTGTTCTTAAAAGACTATTTTAGTAACATTTTTTTTACCCATAATTGTGTTTATATAATAGCAAGATTGCTAATTTTCAAGAAAATAATTTCACTTTTTGAGAGGAATCGGTGCTCAGTGTTAAAACCATAAAAATAAAAGTAAAGCACTTCAGCTGAAGGTGAGAGCCCAGCAGTGATGGAAAGAAGAACTCACCACTCTCCTCATGCGTCGCTTGTTCTTCTTCCTCTTACTGGGCATTTTTGCTTCTCGCTGCTGGGAAAACCAAAGACCAGAGGGAGAGACAGGCAGCAAGGCAAGAGTGCACAAAACGGGAGGTTTATAAAGCCCCCCAGTCCTTCTGGTACCTTTGCACCGAGCCTATGGGAGGACTGGGATGAAACACGGGGGCGTAGAGAAGGAGAGCGACGGGGCGCGCGCACGGGAGCCGCGTGTCACATGTTGGCTTTGTGCGTCTCAGACTCCAGTTTAGGACGGGTTGTTATGTAAGAACTCCATCAAAGCTCAGAGAGAACTGAGAGCTCTGTGGGCTTGGAATTCATTCATTTATATATAAATACTGACATTTACTGACTTGTTCTGAGAGAAACTAAAAGCAAACACAGAAAGCAGTCTGTCAGCTGTTTTTTAATTCATTAAAACCGTAGAAAATAGTTGCCTGTGTGAACTATAAAGATGTTAAAATTACAGTAACTAAAATACTATAAAACTATCTACAATCAACTGCATGTTTTCATTTGCAGTCCAGTGTTTTGTTATTTACAGCACATTTATATAAACTTTTTTCTGATTACAGCACTCTGATTTTATTTTACTTTACCATGTTTGTTTACAGTAATAGGCAGTTAATTTCTATTTTTGTATTTTCTGTAATTTTTGTTTTCGTGTAATGATATTATTCTGCGTACTGTAACTTTTTACTCTAAATTTTAGGTATAAAGTAAGTTTACAGTCTGAGAAGTTCTGGTCAAATACAGTAAATGACAACATACATGTCAACTTGTACAGATTGTCCATAAGTTATAAGGATTTTACATAGTTTTGCAGGTATACGGACGTGTAGGGCAACCTCACTGATTTTTTCAAGTCTAATGGATTTTTTCAAAACCTTATTTTCAAAATTATCTAACATGTCAGAGCCTTTAGGATGATTTAAAAAAAAACAATTTATCTCCCAACCTGTTCTGCCGGTGGAATTAATTTTTGAACTTTTTCCGCTCTCCTTTCCCCCGGAGCAGGACGACGAGTCAATGCATCGTCAATCAAATGAGAGAGAGGGTGGGGGCGATTGCTGCATTGGGGGGGAGAAAATGTTTTATGGGTAGTTTATTTTTCCTGTAATACTTCATTATAGTTTTTTGAGACAATGCTAATTGAAAGGGGCGCTGAGCAGAGTTAAAACCAGGGATTACAAATAATTACTGTTTTTTTCTTCTGCATTTTGGCGCCCCCTCCAGCAGATGGCACTCTAGGCGACCGCCTAGTTTGCCTATGCTAAGAGCCGGCTCTGTATTAAAATATCTGACTTTTTTTGTACTTAAGTATCAAAAGTAAATTTCTGACAGTTTTAATGTCTAAAATAGAGAATACAAAGCGTGCACGTGTCTCTGCCCACTGCCTCCTGATCATCATCATCTGTAATGACCAGAACTTCTCAGACAGTAATGTCAATGTCAATTTTATTTATAAAGCACATAAAAACAAAAAAAGTTGGCCAAAGTGCTTCACATTTAAGCCAAATGAATAAAACAATTGAGCAGCACATAAATGTAGACAATAACATCAATTTAAAATTCAGAAAAACGTTTAAAACATTATCATTAAAATAATCTCAAACTCTACCAGAATGAAAGGCCAGGGAGTAAAAGTGAGTTTTAAGCAGAGATTTAAAAGTCTCGACAGCCTCAGCAGTTCATATGCTAAGAGGTAAACCATTCCAGAGTTTTGGGGCAGAGACTGCAAAGGCCCTGTCACCTCCAAACTTTAGCCTAGATCTAGGAACATCTGAGAGGAACTAGTTGGATGACCGAAGTTCTCTAACTGAAGTGTGGATGTTAATGAGATCACACAGGTAGGATGGGGCCAGACCTTTTAAAGCTTTAAAAGTAAGCAATTAAAAATAAAATTGATCCTAAAATGAACAGGAAGCCAATAGAGAGAAGCCAGAACCGGGGATATGTGTTCGTATTTTTTAGTTCCTATTAAAAGATGAGCTGCTGCGTTTTGGACAACTTGTAATCGATGCGAAGATTTATCTAAACCATTGTACAAAGAATTACAATAATTGATTTGATTTGATTTGATTTG